TTCTACAAGTTTGACCACACAGGTTCTAAATTTTCTAAAAAAACCAACTCATATTACAATGTTGCCTTCATTGCCACCCCTGAGACTGTTAATGATGATGCTTGGTACCTAAAAAATTGATCAACAAGTCATGTTACTAATGATGTCTCTCATATAGACAATCTTTCATATACAAATGGTAATATTAAAATTATTATTGGTAATGATAATGAACTCCTATTGAGAAAGTTGATTCCTCTACTATTCAAAATGTGCCTAACAAAAGGGTTAAGCTAAGATATGTTATGTATTCACTGAGAACTAAAAAGAACTTACTGAGTGTTTACAAGATTACTTATGATGTTGATGTTGTGTTTAACACAAGAGGTTTTTCTATGAAGGATCAAGAAACAGGGGAGACAATGCTATAAAGGCCACCAACTAAAGGAATGTTTCGTGTTTTTTTTTCTAGTTCTCGTGAAGCTATAAGTAGAGATACAGAAATAGTTTTATTTGTAAAAGAACTTATTGATTCAACATCTAGTTCTGATGTTTCTAGTAGCTCTTTATGGCATTATAGGTTTAGTCACTCTAATGATACAATTTTACACAAGATTATTAGAGATTGTAATCTAAAAGTTCCTACTAATGAAACTACTTTTGTGAGTCTTGCAAATTTTGCAAATCACATTCATTGCCTTTTAAAGTTTCTTTATCTTATGCTTCAAATACCTCTTAAGTTAATTCACATAGATCTTTGGGGTCCCTCTCCTATAGTCTCTCCTATAGTTTCAATGAATGGATTTTGATACTATGTGCTATTTATTGATGACTATAACTGTTATTCTTGGATTTATCCATTGAAAATGAAAGATGAGGCTCTACCTATGTTCACTCAATTTAAGGCTTATTTTGAAAAACAATTTGACAACTAAATTAAAATTGTGTGAAGTGATTAGGGAAGTGAATATAGAAGTTTTTTCTAAATTTTTGCAAGACTCAAACATTCATTTTAGATACTCTTGTTCTCAATCACACTTGACCTTAAAATGGTAAGGCAAAGAGGAAAAATAGACATATTGTGGAGATGGGTCTAACTCTCTTGGCTCAAGCTCACATACCTGTATTTTATTAGTGGGAAGCTTTGCATACATACAGACTAAACAAAGTGGCTTCCAACACCAATTTTTAGTGGAATATCCCCTTATACTAGGCTACATGTTAAATATCCAAACTACTCTTTGCTAAAATTATTTGGGTGTACTTGTTATCCCTATCTAAGATTTTACAATCAGTTTAGATCCACCAAGTGTATCTTATTAAGGTTCAGCAACTCATACAAAGGATAGAAATATCTAAGCTCTATAAGAAAAATTTATTTATTTAGATGTGTATTTAATGAGTGTGATTTTCCCTCTGCTACAAGGTTTATCAACAAAAGAGCTGTACCTGTTGAAGATGTACATCCTCAAGTGTTCTATAAACTTTTGAATGCCTTTGCATCATATACTTATCCTTCTTATTCTTTATATTCTAGTGAAGCTCCTATCACTCAAGTTACAAATCTCCCTTCATTCCATAAATCAGTGCAGAACTCACTTCTAGCTAAAACTTCTCCATCTATGCAACATGCATCTCCTTCTCCAACTGCACATCATTCACCACCATATGGTTCACCTCAATCATGTACTTAGAGTCCTACAAATTCATCACTAAAGAATAATTTTGAGCCACAAGTTGAAACTAAAGCATCAAATCTTGGGCCTTAAAATCAACACCACATGATCACAAGAAGAAAGGAAGGTATTTATAAAATCAAAACTCTTCTCTTCTCTCCTCTTTCTTTCTCGCTTAAGGCTTCCACCTTTCTCCTCACCTTGCCATTTCAACTTACAAGTGTGGGTAATTCTCATCTTCTTTTGTCTTCCTCTTTCATTAAAGAGTCATTGCAAACTCCACCGTAAGTTTATTTATTTTTGTCAATTTTTATTGAATATTGGTACTATAAATGGTTGATTTAATTGAATATTTGTATAGTTAGTTATTTTAATAGATGAATTTGTGCCTTCAAATCTTTATTTTAATTTTCAAATTTATATTTTATGATAGTTGGGTATTTGTATATATGAATTTGGGTATTTAAATTATTTGAATGCTTAGTTAACATTGCCATTAATGTTGGATTAATTATGTATATTTAAAGGTTTTAAATTCTAGATGTATAGAAAAACAAACAAAATTTTTTAAAAAAAAATGCACTTTTAACAATGGTTATCTGCAAATAACCATTGTGAAAAGTACAATAACCATTGTGGAAAGTACTTTCCACAACGGTTATTTGCAAATAACTGTTGTGGAAAGTTTTTTCACAATGATTTTCTAAATAACCATTGTTAAAAATTTATTTTTTAAAAAAAATTATTTTTATTTAAAAACTTTTCACATCGATTATGCAAATAACTGACATTGAAAGTCTTTTTCACATTGTTTAAATAACCGATGTGAAAAGGAAATTTTTTACTTCCCTTTCTTTTATTTCTCTCTAATAACTGACATAAAAAGTTTAAAATAACTGTTGTTAAAAGTTCTTCGTATAAATGGTTTATTAAAAAAATATTTTAGTCTTTTACATGAGTAAGAAATAACATAAGTTTAAACTTTTTACATTTATTTATACTTTAAAAAAGTTGATCAATATTAATTGTTACAGGGTACTTTTGTAATTCTCCACGATCTCTTTTGTAGTTTTCTTTAATCAATTAACAGTCAAATTAACAAAAATTTTAATTACGAGATGATACTGCTCCGTTTTTTAATGCAAGGGAAATAGTGCATTGCTTTTGACCTAAGGTGTCCGTTATAATATCACATCTGAACAAATGAAAAAAAATTAAAAACCAAAATTACACTTTAACCCATTATAATATTGAGTAATATCTCTTTACACCCTAATTTTATGTATGCTGTATGTGTTTGCTACAACTGAAGTATGGGAATTTTTTTTTTTTTTAATAAAAGTGGCAAGCTTAAAGGTTGTGGAGAATTACATAAAAGTAGAGTTCTATAAAACAATCACAAAAGAAAACCACCAATTAACTAATAACATTTGTATCTTCCTTCATTAAAATTCTGCATTTATCATGAATGACCGAAATCAGCCGCATCATCTTCTCCCCTTCATCCACACTCCTTGCTAGGCAATCTGTAACTTTAAAAGCTTCTCTATAGGCGTGATTTAGGCTCACTTCCGAATCATCAAAAATCATATTTCTAGTATCCTCCAAAATATTTCTATATATGTGTCCATCACCCCCATCCCTCAATAAAATATTGATGGCTTCAAGGGAATCTGAAAACAATTTTACTTTAGTAAATCCAAGAGATTGACAGACTTCCAAACCAGTTTTAATTGCATATAGTTTAGCTGTAACCACATTCATGAATCCCAAGTTGTTTCTGAAAACCTAAGAACTGATCCATCTACATCAACTCAGACAAACTCAGGTGCTGGGGGAGTCCAATGTAGCTGTGAATCTGTAGTATCAAGGAAAATTCTATTCTTGATCGTACTGTTGATATTTCTTCCATAAGTTGAGCAAAACAGACATGCAAAATTTCATTGGGTGACATTGAGTTCTCACCAAAAACTTTTTGACATCTAGTCTTTCGCAGGGTCCAACATACTATACCAAATATTTTCACCCATGTCCATTGATTGAATTTACTGTTACTTGGATTATGATGTGAATTCCAAGCTGTCTAAACATGCAAATCACCACAAAAGAAATTTCATAATATGTTAGGTTTAATAATAGCACTCCAGACCTCACGAGCTCTAGGACACTCACTGAAGTATGTGAATTGATAATTAAAATCTCTTCTTAAAATTGACCTACTTATTTACTTCCCTCTTATTATGTCTCTGTTGTTAAACGTTGCTTTGAAATGAAATTGACATCCCCCCCAAAAAAAAGTCTTTCTTTTTTTCTATTTTTGGTAAGAAAGTCCCTCTATCATTTATATCTATTGTTGGGTGTTCGTTTAGAATAAAAGTAACATTTTCATTTTCACCCAAAAAATAAAAATATAAAATTTCACAAAGAAGGATCTTGCGCATTGTAGAGTCTAAAAAGGAATGTCGCGTTGCACATAACTCTAATTTGAAAACGTACTACCTTTTAATCTTAATTCAAATCTCACAAACAAATTTTGCATATTTATATTGCACGAAAATGAATGACAAATTTGTACCAAGTACATGCTGATGGTGGTTAATATTAATTAACTCAATCAGTGGCCTCAAATTCAAACTTTGAGCATGCAACTACATTTTTCAAAAAAAAAAGAATAATAAATTTTTAATACTTCAGGTTTTCCTTAATTATCAATTTAATTTTGAAATTCAATATTTATCAATCAAATCCCAAAATTTCAAAACCAAATACAATTTGTCATTTTTGTTTGACGAGAAACTAACAGTATAAAAACTAATTTTATCGTTTTATAACTTAAAAACTTGATTGATAAATATTAAACTTCATGAATTAAATTGATAACTAAATAAATATAAAAAAATTGATAACTAAATAAAATTTGAGAGATAAGACAAATTTGAAACATGACATAGTTATGACTAACGAGCCACCTTACTCCGTCAATCAAAGAACCTAAACTATAAAATCAAATACATATAAATCAAACCTAAATTATCAATTCCCTGATGTTCATGATGACCACTGAACCATTTTGTATCCTCAAGTAGCAGTGGAGCCAAGATTTAAAAATAAGGGAGCCAAAATTAAAAACCATATATACAATAAAATTTCATAATTTTAGGGAGTTAAAAGTATGTAATACCTATATAATATAAAAAAATTAAAAAAATTAGGTGGGCTGCAGCTACTAAGACCTAAAGATAATTTTCAAACTCAGACCAAAAATAGAACAAGACTGCCAAAAGATTATGACAATCATACGGGCTCGGAATTATTTATGAATTTTTCAGATATAACTAAAGATGATTTTTACCAAAACAAAAAAACTAAAGATGGTTTTATTAATTTCATGCTTCAGAGTAAGAACAAAACCACTATAAGTCCCCTTCTCTGCTCGAGGGACCTTTCATCAAATTACAAAGAAAAAGAAAAATAAAGAAAAATTGATTACAAATATGACATACCTTATTATTCAGAAGAGGGAATTATAAATTACAACCACCTTAAAATTAACTAATTTGTCTCTCCCTCTTGTTGGATTACAAGCTGATCTTTCCATTCAATTCCCTTCCAAACGCAGAACCCACATGTATAGAAAGAATTGTGAATCTCCAAAAACAAATCCCATTTTTATATTATCTACATTGACCCGCCATAACTTTCCTGCCATTTTTGCAGAAGCTTCATTCAACCAAGCATGTCTTCAAACCAAAAACTAATGCATTTACTTCTGATAACTACCTTTCTTTTTTTTCAATATAATGTATGTTTTAGTTGTCACAGTTCAACCCGCAGATTTCCAGCACGATGTCGTTTTTCGCTAAGAATGGGTTGACTCGGACCCAAAGGAGGGAGAAGATTGAAGCCAAGAGAATAGCCCAAACAATAATGATGGTAGGAACACCTTCTTGCTTTCCCATGACTCCCTTGAGGAATGGGTAGAGATGGAGAATCACCCAGAGGGCAAAGAAGAGCTTGCCGAAAAGAGGGCCCCACGAATCGTAACCGTTGTTGATCGCGTCCGAGACGCCAACAATGACTCCGATTATGTTTATGATGAGCAAGGTTAGAGGAGGAATCAACAAGGATGTCCACTTGAAGATGTAGAGATCGGCGAATTCTCCATCATCCGCAGCTTTTGATGTGACAGTGAAATTTGTGTTCACTCCTGCCAGAACCTTCAGCAGACCCTGAAAGAGCGCAAAAAGATGCGAGGAGACACCGCCGATGACCCAGAACTGCTCGTTCCTCCACCAGTCATGAATGCCGACACCTCCCCACTGCATTTCAAGGATACTTGTTGCAGCAATGGAAATGAAGAGCCCCATGAAAACAAGACTCGCATAGTTGCTAATCTGGATACAAAAAAGCGCAGAGCATTAGTAGCAATGCATCAAAAATTCGACTGGTCAACTAAAGGCAATTTGGATTCTCTCCACTTCATACTCTTCATTTATTGTCTTAGAGAAGGATAAACACAGCATGAATTTAAGTGAGTCTCATAAATTCTATGCCTGAAATTGGCAAAAAAGAAATGGAGAGAATTCAAATGTGTTGTGATTTCACAATTCTAATCACAGCAATCTACATTTTTGGAGCTAAGATTAATTTTTGCCATCTAACCAAGAAAGAAACAGTTGACTTTACCTCAGGGACTATGAACTTCCCGGTAAGGAGACAGACGGCGGGCAAAGTGCAATAGGCGAGCAAGGGAATGGAAGTCAAAGGATAAACGACAGAGTTAATGTAAGAGAATCGCTCCAACGATTTCAAACCGCAACCATATCCATACCATAAGGGACAATGCCTACTCAGAAATATCTCAACAGATCCAAGCGCCCACCGGAGAACCTGATGCAGACGATCTGAGAGATTGATAGGAGCTGAACCTTTAAAAGCAGGCCTTTTTGGCATGCAGTACACAGATCTCCAACCATGGCAATGCATCTTGAAACCCGTTAGAATATCCTCTGTGACCGAGCCGTAAATCCATCCAACCTGAGAGACAAAATTGTAACTTAGCAAATGCAGCAAAACAGAGATCTAAGATGTGGTTTATTAAATTTAGAACCAATGTAGTAAATATGTTACCTCTTTCCCCCACTCTGTTTTATCCTCATAACCACAACTAATGACATGGATGGCTTCTTTCAAGAGCGAGGCAGAACTTGCTGATTTTGGAAGGCCTCCATCTTCCAGAAGAGTCGAAGCTATGAAGACAGAAGATTGACCGAATTTTTTCTCGAATTTTACTAGAGGCATTGTTAATGACTTTTCATTGTCAATTCCTGTCAGAGAAATTCAAAGAGCAACAAAAGATGACAATACAAAACAATTGAGTTTACATGATACTCAGAACAAAGAGTGCAATATACAATGTCCCAAAGAACTGTTTAGTGTTTTACCTTCAATTCCCTCTTGAATATTTTCTAGTGAGTTCGATTGCTTTGGAGCCTCCTTGTTCTTTATTTTATTTTTCCCACTTGACTTAACTTTCTTGTTCTTCTTCCTAGAACTGCAGCAGCAGCAGCAGCAACACCATTTAGGCCAACAGTTACAAGTCTTCCTCGGCGGCTTCTTCTTGGCTGGGGCATCATATCCATAAAGTGCTTGCCTCCGGAAAACACAACCAGTGCCCACATAAATTGGACCTTGGATGCCGTCTAGCCCTTTCATGTTAATCTGTTATATAATAAAAAGAGATTAGATTCCCCTCAGAGCATAACACACCAAAGAAGGCAACAAGAGAAAATTATTACTCACATCGAAGAACACAACATTACGGTTTGAGTATCGATCATGACGATCAATCCCATCAAATCTTTGAGGAAATTGTACATAGCAGATTTTCTTTCCTGAAGTAGGGTCCATCAGGAAGCACATGGATTCACGAAGTGCTTTGCTGTTGTTAATGTAGTGATCACAATCAACATTGAGCAGATACGGAGCATTTGAAATGATTGCTGAGACTCGCACCTTGATGATCAACCAACACATGATAAAGACATGTCATGAAAATGAAATTTGCAAGAAAAGTCATGTGAGAAAGGGTACAGACTCTACCAATGCATTCATAGCTCCAGCTTTCTTGTGGTGATCAAATCCAGGTCTCTTTTCTCGAGACACATAGACAAGGCGAGGCAATTCATTCCCGTCAACATCACGTACACCATTTTGACCAAGGAAAACCTAGAGAAGATCATCACAGATGAAATTAACCAAAAGGGCCATGTTGGCACAGCATTCTTACAGACAGTAAATACTACTCACTTGTATCATTCCTGGATGATCTCTAACATTGTTCCCAGGCCATGGAGTCCCATCCTGCATTGTCCAACCATCCTCAGGAACCTTTTGTGCCATGGCAACCAATGCATTAACACGCACTTTGAACTCCTCGTACTCCCGCTGTGCAATACAAATTCAAACACTGAATTTAAATTATCAATAATTGAAGCTCAGGACAAGAGATGAAAGCAGTAAGAGTATAACAAGTCAAAATTGAACAGGATCTGGTCTAATAAATTATGTTTTACCTTAATAGCACGACGCTCCTTGATAAATGTTGGATCAACTTTGTCTCTCAGATAGTCAACCTTTTGAGCAAAATACCATTCAGGAGCACGTGGTTCAATGCTGAACTTCTTGCAGAATGGAACCCATTTCCTTGCAAACTCAGAAGTTTCCGAAAGGGCTTCAAAAGTAAGCATGGCTGCACCATCATCAGAGACATAGCACGCAACTTTGTCCACCGGATAATCGACAGCAAGTATGGACAGAACTGTATTTGCTGTGATAAGTGGAGGTTCTTTCATAGGATCCACAGTACTAACAAATATGTCCACATTGGCTAGGTCAGATGGCTTTCCCTCTTTCTCGTACCTGAAAAGTGGTGTAGCATCAGCCATAGAATTACTAGATGAACAGTCCCATCCAGACAAAAAGAAGGATAAATCAATAGAATACCTCAGTGATAAACGATCGAGATATGTTTCTCGCTCAATTGGGCACCATTTGGGGAATTGATCAAGAATCCATGACACAGCAAACCAGATTTCACATATCACTGATGTTAGCCACAGACCATATGCATCATTGACAGGATGGAGAATTCTATAATGAAAGAAGAGGCCGAGAATAGCAATCCGGAGTGCAATTATAATCCTGTAGGGATTTATCTTGCTTGAAGGAATTGGTAACTTCCTCCAAAGTGGCTGCCTGCCTTCATCCATTCTGTTAAAAGAAATTAAAATTAAAACAAATCTCCTAAACCTGAGAATAAAGAAGGAATATGCATGTGTGTGTGTGTAAAAAATGTTATAGATGTGTGTGTGTAAAAAATGTTATAGATGTGTGTGTGCTATATAGACTATAGGTCTTGGGGATTCTGTTTTCTTTTTTTTCCCCTTCTTTTTCCTTTAAAAGTAATTAGAAAGACACAAATTTATGTTTTCAAGTCTTTGGCACTTGTTTCTCCTTGGACAATTCTTTAGTTTCTCAAAATCAGAAAAGCTTGGGCTAAAGAGATAGGAGGGACAGTATATCATCACTTCACTCATCCTCAGCCAGTTCAATATTGTAATTAATCTACTTATTTATTGAAAATCTGAATTTTCTTTAACTGGTATTCTGCATAACAGTCTTCTACGATCAACCAAACAAAAGTTTGTGGCAAAGTTATAATAACATCAGCATTTTCCATAAAAGTGACAAGAAAGAATTTTAACACTGATGAAGCCACCAATGCTAGCGCAAAATAAGAGGAAATAAGTTAAAATTACTTTAAAAAGGATACCAGCTACGTACAAAAAATTACAAATTGTCAGTATTGACACAGACATGAAACAAGATACGATCATTGCAAATGTGACAACACAATAAAATCTTTAGTGCTAGCATAGTAATTGAAGTGTTTTTCTGTGCCAATAAGAGCGCTTAACACATGTCAAAAGTAGGCAAGCTCTTTTTTTCCCCACAAAGAATCTATGCTTCATATATTATAACAAATCGAATCTAACTACTGCTTTAATTCAAGTTTCAGTTTTACAAAAGCGGCAACAAAATAATAGCACTTACATTGGCAATTCCGGATCATCAAGTTCATCAACATTTTTCCCGCCATCTTCATGCTTGACCACTTGAAGTTTCTCGTTCTGCTTCTTTTTCCACTCATCCATCCGTTCCTTCCACGCAACACTTCCATAACCATAGACTGCTAAATCTTTTTTAGGATCCATAGCTCTGGGTTGAACTACACCAACAAGGACCATATAAAAATTATGGATTAAAAAACCAGGTTTAACTTAAACAGTGTAATAAAGAGAGATAACATAGTCTAAAACTAAAATGCAGAATAAAACATGAACAAAATAGCATGACTTACCAGGAACAGATGAATCAGGAAAAGGCATAGGATGAACACGCTTCCCACGAACCATGAATGGAGGAACAATAAGCGCATGCTTATCAGCAGAAATCCCAAGGTCCTTGAAACACAAAAAATCATTGCCATTTATCAGTCACTTAAACCAAAAAAGACATCATCATCAAAACAAGAAGAGTGAAATTGTAAATTCAATTAACCTCTTGGCCATATGTGAGGAGAGGGATATCACCAGCAGCCACAGAAGCCGCATCTACCTCTGATGGCGTGGTGTTCCCAGGAGCATTGACATGTGAGCCACCACGGCCAACATTAAGACGAGCAGAAAGTATGGCCTCAGCAATGTGATGAGGGTCTCCATGAACACTTCCAATATCAAATTCATTTTCCAAATCATCAATATCATCCTCTTCATCATCACCTTCAACTCTAGCACTCCCTGATATTGATTAAATGCATTATTAGCCTTATATATAACCAGAGTACAGAGAAAGGAAAGGCAAACCCAAGGAGATATAAAAAAATTAAGACATGAAACCAGCATGTTAAATTTTATTATCTCTTTCAGACAATTAAAACCCCCTTTGGAGTTAGCTCGTTTGGACTATCTCTGTTAGACAACCTGTGTACAATTCAACACTCTAGAATTAGAAACCTTAATGCAGCTGTGAATCTGGGGATTCTGCCAAGGAGGAAATTTTATCTGATGATGTCAGAAGACAATCATACCGTAATGACAAGAAAGAAAAGAACAGAAAAGAAAAACCCAGTTACCAAACATCATCCTGATGAAAGTTAACCCAAAACAAAAACAAAAAACAAAAAATTGATTGAAGCTTTTACCTTTGTGACGCTTGTATCTGGTTTTGCACTGAGGGCAAGCTTGGTTTCCCTCTCTTCTTTCATATTCATAACAAGGTCTACACACAGGGAATGCACATTCATTGCAAGCAACAAATGGTTCTCCATCGACAGTGACTTCAATCTCGTCCCCACAGATCTGGCAAATCTGGCCGCTCAATTCTGTCACAGAGGTCACCTGAAATTCTCATGAAAATTAGACTTGAATTTCATCACTCAATATAAAGCATCAAAAGGCTTTGTTATAATGGATCGATGAAGAAACAAGAATCCGGAGGAGGAGGAGGGAGAGAGAGAGAATTGCAGTCTGTTCTTTTGTTTTCTTATTTTGTTTCTCACAGACACTAAAGAGGTACCGACAAGTAAATAGATAAGTTTAAACGCGAAATTTCCAGTACTTCACCAACAAGTACACCTATCGGGAACTCTTTCTGTGAAAAAGAAACAGACAATTGAAATGAAGGAACAAGATGTCTATAACAATGAAACAAAGAAAGAAAAAAAATGCAGGAAATATCAACTGGATGGGAATTCAGCAAGAAGAAGGCTATTTTCATCAGACTTCTCATATGGGTTTCTGGAAAATGACTCTGGGAAAAAGGAGAGAAGCAGAAAGAGAAAAGTCTCTTTTTATCTTTTTTTTATTTTCTTGAAGCTACAAATTCTTCAGAAGAATTAAGCTACAGAAGTTAAAACGGATTCAAAAGGCCACTCACTCTTGCAGTCTCATCGGCATTGATGAGAATGAATTCGTTCCTATTATGCGACCCAGCAACAAGTCTCCCCTTAGTATCCATTAGAAACCTCAAATGACAACCTTAATCTTCGCAATACGAGAGAGATCTACTTCAACAAGCCTTCTCCACTATCTTTGTCATTTCTCAAACAATCCCACAAAGAAGAAAGAACATAGCTTTAGACTACACTGAGCGACCCATTCAAGGAACACCAGCTCCACAATACACAGAGCACAGTGAGAGAGAGAGAGAGAGAGAGAGAGAGAGAGAGGCAAATATAGAGACGAAAGGTATCGGGGAATTATTAAAATATAATGAGGGAGGGAGGGAGGAGTTAGAGAGAGAAGTTTTCTTTGGGGATGTTAGTGAATGATTCTTTTCTTGCTAATCCGAGTATTCTAACTGATGGGTTTCTCGCTGTAAAAATCATAAAGGAAAATAAAATAAGGAACAGAAAAACAGAGGTGGGTGCCCTGTCTGTCTCTGATAGAGCTTGCTGGAAAAGAAATATCAATTGACCCTCAAAAAATATACAGGAGAGAGAGAAAGAGAGAGAATCATGAAGAAGCACGGGTCGAAACTTGGAAGTGTAAGCAAGACGAGGAGGGTGAGGGAGGGAGGGAGGGAGAGAGAACTGTCGTATTCAGAGAGCTTTGAGGCCCTCAAATTGGGACGTTTTGTGAGTTCTGTTTTATCTTTTTCCTTTATGGCTCACAACTTGCAGCGGAAACGCAGCACTCTCCAGCTGTGAACCGTGTCATGTTATTCACTAATGAGCTTGTTTATGTTATATATTAATACTAACTAAAAATTAAATTATATATACCACTCAGTAAATAATTTTAGTTTTCTAAGGTTCAGCAGATAATTTTTGGAGTTGACTTATTATTACTATAACTTTACATTTAGTTAATAAAACATGAATTTATCATGAATCTATTCCATTTTATTACAACTCATGAGCAGCGGAATTTATTTCTTAAATTTCATGCAACAAATGGAACTCATACTAATTTATTTAAAAAGTATTTGTTTAAGAATTACAAACAAAAATTTATAATAAAAACTTTGCAAATGATGTAGACAAGCATATTACTTCTTATATGATATTAACAAAGTAAGAAGTTAAAAGAAATATGGTGAAACTTATGAAAGAAGATTGATAAAATAATAATAATAATAATTTCAAAATTAGATTTCAAGCTCCAATGAAATATGAAAGCCACTTTCAATTAACTTCTGCTTGTGCATATTGACGATATTGATTTGGCATCTAACAAGTAACGAATGTGACAAGGAGACTTATAAAAATTGACTCTAAAAAAATGGCACATTAACTGATTTTTTTTGTTTAATTTAAGGAACTAATTAATTAGTATAAGCATACAAGTTTAATTTTAATCTTAATGGTGTCATCAAATTTGGCGTTGCCAAGTCGGCCAACTCATGCCTGACGAAGACCCACAAGTCTAAAAGCAGTTTGCGGACAAAACAAAGTGTTGAAAAATAAAAACAGCTATGACAATTAACTATGAATTTAAAATTATTTATTGGTTGTTGCTGTTGCTGTCTTGTTCTGTTACCAATATTGATATACAATGAATCAGTAAAATTAATTATTAAAGTATTGAAGCAAATGTTTGGCACGTGAGCCTTCCTTTTTTTCTTTATTTTAGCAAAGCAAATACATTATAATACTGTTTTTTAATTTTATTGTAACAAATTGGGCATGTGAATCTTTGAGTACAGGAGAATTAATGCTTGTTATCAACGTACTACTTGCCTCAATGTGAAGTACCATCATGATGAATAAAGTGTTTTTCCATATTTATGGTCACACTCATATTGACTAGTTTTATATTTTTAAAATTATACAATTTTTATTCAATAAAAAATTACCTTTATTCAATCGAATTTTACATTTTTTACAAAATATCCTTCTTCTTTTTTTACCAAAATACCCTTCTTTAATTTTTTTTTTTTGGTTACCTACATTATCCTCCTATTTTTAGAGAATGTCTATAAATATTATGATAACTCATATGGATTACAATCATCTTATAGATAATTTTAAGATTAAAAATTTGTAGAAAGATTAAGTTGTATAAGGTACTTTTCCTAATTATAAATTAATCTTGTCAATATTATGGAGATATTTTGAATATGTAACTCAGGGCTATGTATAATGATTTTAACTTGAAAAAAATATTTTAAATATTTTAAATTAAATACTAATAATATATTAAATCAAAGTTGTACAAGCCGTATTATTTAAAAATTATAAATAATATGGTTCATTTTGTAATCTATTTAAAGATAGTGAACTCATTTTCTTTTACTCCATGGAACTATTTAATACTCCCTCCGTTTAAAAATATAAAATATTTTTAGCCGAATCTTATCCTCTAATAAAGTAGTTACCTACTTTTCAACTAACCCTATGTTTTCATATTTATCTCTATTAAATACCCTACAATAAATATAAAATTATTATCAATAAGAGAACTTCTAAAAAAAAAGCAATGATTATATCTCACAAAACTAAAAATATCTTATATTTTTTAACATTAAATTTTTTAAAAAAAATATCTTATATTTTTAAATGGAAGGATAATATGATATTATAAAGTGAGATTTGAATATGGTTGAACCCTATTAAAGGCAAGATTAACTCTCACAATATAATAACTGTCGAGTGCTGAATGAAATTGGGTCATTTTCACTTGGCTCAGTAATTGTCGGTACAAAGGACCACTCTAGTTATTTCTTATGAAAGAAAAATTGCCCGAAACAATAACCAAAAATTATAGTAAAACATCTCAAAATTACAAAAAAATGATTCAGAAATTTTTTGTGGTCTTTTTTTATAATTTGTAGATCCTTTTTTGTTTTTAAATTAATAGTCAAAATTAATTTTTATTAATAAAAAAGATCATATTACATTATATTCAAAAATTAAAAGAGAATATTACATAAAAAGTAAATTTAGAGTCTCAAACACTTTTAAACTTATAGTTTAAAAATAATTTACTTGTTTATACCTTTTATAATTTATAACCCTACTTATTAATTCATTTTAAATGAAACTCATTAGAATCTAATCCCCACTACTCTCATCTCCACTCCCCTTCAACCAAACAAAAATAAAATAAAATACCATTTAAGTATGTAGGTTTTTCTTGTATACCCTAGGCATGCTCATACTATGTTGAACTTCTCACGAACAATATACAATAAATATGGCTTTATAAATAAAATGTGGGATTTTTTATTTTTTTTTTAAAAAAAGGAAGAATGGAGGGTAGATTTTATGGAATCACATTAAAAACTTACCTAACAAGAGCAGGCAAAAGCAATGAGAGCCATTACCAATGTGTCAGCCTTCTTTAGCTTTCACATGTATATTTATATTTATATTTATTATATTTAGATTTTATATGTTGTTGCTTCTAAGTCTCCTCAAGGTATCTTCAACCTCTTTCACTCAACTTGAATAATCCCCTTTCCCTCCACTTCTTTCTTTCCTTTTTCCCATTCTTCATGTTACTCTCTTCTTTTTGTGCCTCACTTGAGTTCTACTCATAAAATGCATAATTATTATTTTTCATTTTAAAGAGTTATGCATGCAAGCATTTCCCCTTGTTTGTTCATTAATGGCAATCAAATTCTATCTTATTTTAAGGAAAAATATATATGTATTTTCAATTTCTTGTATTTGTTATTGTTGAATTTTATAAGTATATACATGATTTTTGGTATCTTATCATTAAAAAATGACCAAAAAATATTTTTAATTTGGGACCTGAAAGAGCTTAAATCTCTCATTCCTTTGTTTAGTTGTAATTAGGGAATGGAAATAACAGAAGATTTTAATAAGTTCAATTTAAAAAAAATAGAGAAGTGGGATTTAAAGTTTTTAATTAATTCTCCTTACCCTTTCATTTTGCATCTTATTTCTATTAAAATTTTATAACACCACTTTTATATTTGTTTAAAAAAAATCAAGCTTATTAAAATATTCCCTATATTTCCCTCCAACCAAAGATACCAATATTATTGAAAATCCTGTGCTGGCAAGCATTTGGCAAGAAAATATTTAACACCATATTTTATATTTTGTATTTTCAATATTTTTAAAGTCTACGATCAGAATATGGTTTTCATTCTACGTCATCAACTCATCCTCCATTTAAGATAGAAATTAGTATTTAAATATATTTAAAAATAAAGTAATATCTGAATATCCCTAGTCTACTCGAAAATTAACAACAATAAAAAATCTCATATATGTTATATTTTAATTAAAAATTGCTCCAATAATTGGGAAAAATGAAAACAATAAATTAAAAGGGAAAGATAAGTGTGCTTGGGGCCCCTCAGATCTTCTCAAATCATACGTTAATTTGGTATCATTTGTATATTGAATAAAAAATACAGAATTGAATATGTTATTTCTTATAATCAAATGATTACCTTGGCACAAGCAAAAACTAATTGTACATGAAGCTATACTTATAATTGGAATATTACCATTTTTTTGGTAAACATTCGAATATTTTGGCAGGATAACAATTTAGATAAGTTAAACTAACATTATTTACTATACTTAGAATAAATCTAGTTGCAGTTTAATACTAAGTCAATTTTGCCCCTTCAAGGAAAAAATTAAATATAATAAATTTTTCACGATGCAAATAATTTTTTTTTTTCCTTCCTTCTGCCGACACTTTTGTATGGTCCACGCTTTGAAAACTCAAGGTCATATTTTAATTTTCTGATATTTTCATCCAACGACTTCATTATGTTTTTTTCTTTTTCTTTAAATAATATAAGAATTGAAAAGTAGGTTGAACGACGTCATTTAACGGCATTATAATTGTAATATCTACATTGATCAGAAAGAAATCAAGTTTCTTCTTCTTAATCTTTGTTTCCTTCCTAATACAATCATTCTAAGTTTCTAACCTGATATGTTTTTTTAGGAAAAAAAATTGGATAAATTAGATATTGATGGACTCATTGGAATTAAAGCCTGTCTTCTGTAAATTCAAAAAGCGTTTGCAGAAATACTTACAGACTCATCAAAAATATTTTCAGAATTGATGGCATGATTTGATTATACCACCTTGGGGGTTATATATCAAAACTTTATTAATTAGATAAACATTTATTTTATTCAATTATGTTTTGGATCAAAATAAAAATTATTCGACTGAGTCATTTTGATTATTTAGTTAAGTTCTGGAGTGAAATTTATCACTATGCTTTTAGTGATTTATTTTTCAGATGTTTTATATTTTTTAAATATTTCTAGTGGATTCATTTTATTATACAATATTTTATAAATCCATTATATATTGTTCATGATTTATAAATATATCAACTTACTATAAATTAATTACTAGTAGATCTATTAAATTTCTGGGAAAATATAATTATTGATTTATATCATTTAGTGTGTTTTGATATTAATTTTTATACTTTTTCTTGTTACTTCAAGTCTCTTAAATTTTATTTATTTGCAACA